CCTCTGGACAGATTCCTCTTGGGAATCAATAATGGAAAGGTGAATGAATTGAACAAATAGTTCACATCCGTCTTCATTGTAGAGTATAACATCCCACAAATAATTAGGAATCAAAAGGTGAAAAGGAGGGACGGACTCATCAGGGAAAGGGTACCGATAAGAATTAAAATCTAGCAAGTCATCTGATCCAGATAGGCCATCTGAGGTGTTAAAAGAAGAGGCTGCTGAAATAATAGACACATTAGTTTTAATTTCCAAAAATTAACCAGAATTTAGAAAGGTCCCATTAGAATGCAAAGTAAAGAACTAACTTCATTACCCAAGAAAGGAAGAGATAGAAATCAGGATACTATAAGCCAATTAGCTTAACATCTGAAATAGGGAAAATTCTCCAATCCATTATTAAGGAGGTTATAGTAGGGCATTTTGAAAATCTCAATGCAATCAGGTAGAATCAAGATGGTTTTAGTGAAAGGGAAATTGGATAATGGGGACCCTGAGAATGTGGTGTATTTAAACCTGCAGAAGATATTTGACAAGATGCAGAAAATTAGAATTAATGGTGTTGAGGGTAACATATTATCTTGGAATTGGGGCTACAACTATTTACAATCTATATCAATGATTTGGGTAATGGGACAAAACATCTATTTACTAAATTTATTGATAGGTGGGAAAATAAACCGTGAAGAGAATGTAAGGAGTCTGCAAAGGGATATAGGTAAATTACGAACATTCCACCTAATCTAGTGTGCAGCAGCTCTGTGGGTCCATGCAAGGCGACTGATGTGCTGACACCATTCATAGTACTGACTTCCGCTTTCCAAAGTCACTGCCGCGCACGGACCTCAGGAGTCCACAGAGAAGAAGAATTACCAGAAATGCTGGTTACTCGAGAGTCAAAAGTTTTGGAAGACGGAATATAATGTAACAAATTGTGAGCTGGTTCACTTTGGCAAGAAGAATAAAAATGTAGCATCTTATTTAAATGGATAGCAGAAGTTGCTGGAAAAGCTCAGCAGGTCTGGCAGCACCTGCGAAGAAATAAAAATCAGAGTTAACATTTCAGGACGGGTGTCCCTTCCTCAGAACTGCAAATTCCTCAGAAGTTCTGAGGAAGGGTCACCAGATCTGAAACGTTAACTCAGATTTCTTTTCTTCAAAGATGTTGCCAGACCTGCTAATCTTTTCCAGCAACTTCTGTTTTTGTTCCGGATTTACAGCATCCGCAGTTCTTTTGGTTTTTATTTAGAGGTTAGTGGTACCTTGATGTCCTAAAACACAAAATACTAAAATTCAGGTACTGACTAGGAAGACAAATGAGATGTCATAATTCTTTGCAGGAGGAATGGAATATAACATAGAAGATAGAGGATTGGTTAACTAACAGAAAGCAAAGGGTGAGGGTTATTGGGTGCTTTTCTGGTTGGAGATCAGAGGCTAGTGGTGTGCCTCAGGGATCAACGTTGGGACCACAATTGTTTACAATTTACATAGATGATTTGGAGTTGAGGACCAAGTATGATATGTCAATGTTCGCAGATGACACTAAGATGAATGGTACAGCAAAACCCGCAGAGCACTATAGATAGGTTAAGTGAGTTAGGCAAGGTCTAGCTGATGGAGTGCACCATGTTGGTAACTGTGAGGACATCCATTTTGGTAGGAATAACAGAAAAATGGATTATTATTTAAAGAGAGAAAAACTGCTATGCAGGGGGACCTGGAGGTACCTATGCATGAATCACAAAGTTGGTTTGCAGGTGCAGCAGGTAATTAAGAAGGCAAATAGAATATTGTCCTTCATTGCTAGAGGGATGGAGTTTAAAAATAGGGAGATAATGCTGCAGAAAAACAGGAGGCTAGAGGAACACAGCAAGTCAGGCGCCAGCCTCCTGGTTGTCTACCTTGGATTCCAGCATCTGCAGGTTTTTGTGTCTCTAACCGAGATTATGCTGCAGCTGTATAGGGTGCTGGTGAGGCCATGCCTGGAGTACCGTGTACAGTTTTGGTCTCCTTTCTTGAGAAAGCATGTACTGGCACTGGAGGGGGTGCAGAGGAGATTCACTAGGTTGACTCTGGAATTGAGAGGATTGGCTTATGAGGACAGATTGAGTAAACTGCAACGATTCTCATTGGAATTTAGAAGAATGAGGGGGGAATCTTATAGAAACATACAAAATTATGAAGGGAACAGATAAGATAGAAGCAGGGAGGTTGTTTCCACTGGCAGGTCAAACTGGAACTAGAGGGCACAGCCTCAAAATAAGGGGAAGCAGATTAAGGACTGAGCTGAACTTCTTCTCCCAAAGGGTTGTGAATCTTTGGGAATTCCCTACCCAGTGAAGCAGTTGAGACTACCTCACTGGATGTTTTTAAGGAATTAACGATTATGGTGAGTGGGTGGGTAAGTCCACAAAGAAGATCAGCTATCATCTTATTGAATGACACAGCAGGCTCAAGGGGCCAGATGGCCTACTTCTGCTCCTATTTCTTATGTTCTTAAGAGAAGGGATGTTTTGTTACAGGGGTTTGGTGAGGCCATATCTAGCGTGTTGCGTACAGTTTTTATCCTCTTATTTGAAAGAGGCAATAATTGCATTAGAAGCTATGCAGAAAAGGTACACCTGATTGATTCCTGGAAACTATTCAAGGAGGTAAGTTTGAGTAGTTTGGGTCTGTATCACTGGCATTTAAAAGAATAAGTGCTGATCTTACTGAAACATACAAGGTTCTGAGGGAATTGACTAAGGATGCAGAAAAGATGCTTCCCTGTGTGGGGAAGACTAGCACTAGGGACAGAGTTCAAAATTGAAGGGTCTTGCATTAAACTTGGAGACGAGGTGGATGTTTTTTGTGCAACGTGTCAAGCATCTGGAAAAGATTCTTTCCCAGAAAGCAGTGGAGATAGAGTCACTGAATATTTTTAAGGCATTAGTAAATAGATACTTGACTAATTTGGGGGTCACTGGTTGGCAGGAAAGTAGAGCTGAAGCCACAATCAGATCTACTATGATTTTCCTGAATGGCAGAGCAGTCTGGAGGGACCAAATGACCTATTCCTGGTCCTGATTTATATGTTGGTATGTCATTGGGAATTGGAAGATACCAGACAAACAAAAGGTTACAATGGTTTCTGTCCAACGTTCTCTCTAAGCAGAGTAGTTGCACATGGAACTTGGAGGCCCATGCAGCTGGGAAGAAAATCATAGGAAACGATGCTTCTGCCGTTTAGGTTTGTAATAAATGGCTCATGACCATAATCAGGACATAGTATTGGCTGATTAGGGTCATATTCAGATTGAGGAATCTTACAAAATGCTGGATTGCTGAATGCTAGACAACAAGGTGCAGAGCTGGATGAACACAGCAGGCCAAGCAGCATCATAGGAGCAGAAAGGCTGACGTTTCGGGCCTGGACCCTTCATCAGAAATGGGGGAGGGGAAGGGGGTTCTGAAATAAACAGGGAGAGAGGGGGAGGCAGATAGAAGATGGATAGAGGAGAAGATAGGTGGAGAGGACACAGACAGGTCGTAGAGGCGGGGATGGAGCCAGTAAAGGTGAGTGTAGGTGGGGAGTTAGGAAGGGGATAGGTCAGTCCAGGGAGGATAGACAGGTCAAGGGGGCGGGATGAGGTTTGTAGGTAGGAGATGGGGGTGCGGCTTGAGGTGGGAGGAGGGGATAGGTGGGAGGAAGAACAGGTTAGGAAGGCGGGGACGAGCTGGGCTGGTTTTGGGATGCGGTGGGGGGAGGGGAGATTTTGAAGCTTGTGAAGTCCACATTGATACCATTGGGCTGCAGGGTTCCCAAGCGGAATATGAGTTGCTGTTCCTGCAACCTTCGGGTGGCATCGTTGTGGCACTGCAGGAGGCCCAGGATGGACATGTCATCTGAGGAATGGGAGGGGGAGTTGAAATGGTTCGCGACTGGGAGGTGCAGTTGTTTATTGCGAACTGAGCGTAGGTGTTCTGCAAAGCGGTCCCCGAGCCTCCGCTTGGTTTCCCCGATGTAGAGGAGGCCACAACGGGTACAGCGGATGCAGTATACCACATTGGCAGATGTGCAGGTGAACATCTGCTTGATGTGGAAAGTCTTCTTGGGGCCTGGGATGGGGGTGAGGGAGGAGGTATGGGGGCAGGTGTGGCACTTCCTGCGGTTGCAGGGAAAAGTGCCGGGTGTGGTGGGGCTGGAGGGGAGTGTGGAGCGGACAAGGGAGTCACGGAGGGAGTGGTCCCTCCGGAAAGCAGATAAGGGTGGGGAGGGAAAGATGTCTTTGGTGGTGTGGTCGGATTGCAGATGGCGAAAGTGTCGGAGGATTATGCGTTGGATCCGGAGGTTGGTGGGGTGGTACGTGAGGACGAGGGGGATTCTTTTTTGGTTGTTATTGCGGGGATGGGGTGTGAGGGACGAGTTGCGGGAAATGTGGGAGACACGGTTGAGGGCATTCTTGACCACCGAGGGGGGGGGGTGGAAGTTGCGGTCCTTGAAAAACGAGGACATCTGAGATGTACGGGAGTGGAATGCCTCATCCTGGGAGCAGGTGCGGCGGAGGCGAAGGAATTGGGAATAGGGGATGGCATTTTTGCAGGAAGGTGGGTGGGAGGAGGTGTATTCTAGGTAGCTGTGGGAGTTGTTGGGCTTGAAATGGATATCGGTTTCTAGGTGGTTGCCCGAGATGGAGACAGAGAGGTCCAGTAAGGAGAGAGGTATTAGAGATGGTCCAGGTGAACGTAAGGTTGGGGTGGAAGGTGTTGGTGAAGTGGATGAACTGTTCGAGCTCCTCGTGGGAGCACGAGGCGGCACCGATAGCAGCATTCAGCATTGATGACTGTATGTTGTTAGCAACAGTGGCAAATGATGAAAAGTTGTGCTCTGTACAATCGTTGAAAAGTATAATTATTCAATCCCATGTACAGCTGACACTGATATTTTGAGAAATTTCTTACTTTATAGAAGTTGTATTTGGTGCTCTGCTAAGAGAAATCAAAATTAAATGTACCTTGTCCAAAATTCTGAATGATCCTGTGGTAAGCAGCTCCTCCTGGTTTGTAAGTCTCATGTCCCAGTTGATCAGCATCAATGGTAGTGGCTCCCATTTTCTGCAAATACTGCCTAACTGACGTCTTTCCACTGCCCATGCATCCAGTGAGTCCAATCACATAAGGAGCTGGCGCAATTTTGAGATTTTTCTGAAAACATGTTAAAAAAAGTTTTATTTTAATTTAAATTTATCGTAATGTTTTTGAAAAATTCATTCATGGGATGTGGGCAAACACAGAAGCTAGCACACAGTTACAAGGTAATTAGGAAGGCTAATGGAATAATGGCCCTTATTTCAAGGGGGTTGGAGTATAAGAGTAGGGAAGGTCTTACTGTACAAGGTGCTAGTGAGACCACAACTGCAGTATTGTGGGCAATTTTTGTCCTCTTATTCAAGGATGATACCATCCCATTCGAGGCAGTTCAAAGAAGGTTCACTGGTATGATTCCTGCTATGGAGGGATTGTCTTATGAGCAAATACTAATTCAGGTTGGGAGTTCATTTTCTGGAGTTCACAAGAATGACAGGTGATCTCAATGAAACATGTAGGATTCTTAAGGATTGACGGATTAAATGCCGACAGGACGTTTCCCCTCGTGGGAGCGTCTAGGACCAGAGGGCATTGTCTCAGAAACCTTTGAAACGGTTAGAGGCACTGGGTACTGCAAAGACTAAGGGTCCTGTCAACATTCTGGCAATTATACTGAACACTTATGCTCCAGATTTTGCCCCAAGTCAAGCTTTTCCAGTACCAGTTACAACACTGGCATCAACATAAAAATGTGGAAAATCGCCCAGGTATGTCCTGTATACAAAAAGCATGACAAATCCAACCCAACCAATTACTGCCCAATCAATCTATTCTCGATCATCAATAAAATAATACAAGCTGTCATCAACAGTGCTATCAAGCAGCACTTGTTCAGGAATAACCTCCCAATTGACACCCAGTCTGAATTCTGCCAGGGCCACTCAACTCCTGACCTCGCTACAGTCTTGATTCAAACATGGACAAAATGGCTGAATTCCAGAGGTGAGATGAGAGCATAAGTCTTTGACACCTTCTCAAGGTCAGCTAGGGACACGCAATATATGCCGGCCGGCTAGTGCTGCCCACAGCCCACAAACGAATGATAAAAAAAGAATAATGCGGCACCAAATTAAAACTGAGATACGTAGAATTTTTTTCTCTAGGGTGGTTGAGTCTTTAGCATTCCTTACTACAGAGAGCTGTGGGGGTTGGGACCTTGTGTATAGTTAAGGCTGAGATAGATATAGAAGGGCCACTGGTGAGCTCCAGACCAGCGTATATAGGTAGGCCACCCATACCGACCAAATACTTAACTTCAACAGCAACCACCCCAACACCCACAGACAAAGCTACATCAGAACTCTGTTCAAAAGAGCCAATAACACACAGCAGCACCCCAGAACTGTGCAAAACCGAAGAACACCTCCACAGCGTCTTTAAAAACAATGGCTACCCAAAAAGCATAGCGCGCCGGTACTTACTCAACAGACAACAGGAAGACACAGCATGCCCGGATACACTAGTCACCCTGCCATACATCAAGAACGTATCAGAGATGACACCAGACTACTCTGACCACTAGGAATCGTGGCAGACACAAACCCACAGCTACACTATGATAGCTACTGACAAGAACAAAGGATCCCATACCCACAACTAACTGGACCAACGTTATATATAAAATCCCATGTAAGGACTGCCACAAACACTACATCAAACAGACTGGGAGAAAACTATTTATCAAGGTACATGAGCACCAACTAGCTACCCAAAAGGCACGACGAACTATCACTCATTTCTATACACTTGAACATAGAAGGCCACCAATTTGACTTGGACAAGCCAACCAAAGACATGCACAGAAATTCCTAGAGGCCGGGTACTCATCCTGAAACGCTATCAACAAACATGTGGAAATAGACCCTATATACCTTCCACTACGAAGCAGAACTGGAAATGAGGCCAACCACCACATCAAACCGGACCCACATAAATAACAAAAGGGACAGACCAACAACGCTTCAATGGGGCGCACTGATGATGTTAACTAGCATGGTGACAAAACATCTGCAAACCAACCAACCAGCTCGGCGAATAAATCAACAACCCTATCCACAAGCCGAGCTACAGTCTACTCAAAAACTTTAAATAGATACTTTAATCAGTGGGGAAATCAAGGATTACAGGGAAAGGGCACGAAAGTGGACATGGGGAATGTCAGATCAGCCACGATCCTACTGAATGGCAGAACAGGCTCAAGGGGCTGAACAGTCTACTCATGTCCTATTTCTTATGGACTTTTGGGCATTGCTGGCTGGGCCAGCATTTATTGCACCTTCGTGTTGTCCTAGAATTAATGCAATTAAAAGTCACCCACACTCCCAAAGGTCTGGAGTCAAACCAAAACCAGACTGGGTAAGGGCGGCAGAGTTGTTTCCCTATAAGTCATTAGTGAACCAGACGAATATTTATAACAATCAACAACAGTTACATAATTGCCATTAGGATGACTTTTAATTCCGAACTTTCATTGAATCCACATGCCACCATTTGCCACGATGCAATTCAAACCCACATCCTTAGAACATTAGTCTGGGATTCTTAATTCAGAATCCAATGATATACGATTTGAAGCATATTTTGAAAAGAAATTTCTGATCTTGTCACTCTTGTGAAACTAGACTCTTCCACATTCCTATCAAACATTCCTATACTTGGCATTGCACAGGTGCGATGTAACACGCTGGTTTCTGAGGTTAGGATGAAATAGCACATCTAATTAGGGTGGCACAATAGTTCAATGGTTAGCACTGCTGCTTCACAGCTCCAGGGATCCGGTTCGATTTCAGCCTTGGGCAACTGTGTGGAGTCTGCACAATCTGCATGGGTTTCCTCCGGGTGCTCTGGTTTCCTCCCACAGTCCGAAGATGTGCAAGTTAGGTGGATTGGCTGTGCTAAATTATCCCATAGTGTCCAGGGATGTGCAGGCTAGGTGGGTTAGCCATGGGAAATGCAGAGTAACAGGGATGGGGTGGGTCTGAGTAGTATGCTCTTTGGATGGTCGGTGTAGACTTGATTGGCTGAACGGCCTGTTTCCACACCGCAGGGATTCTACGATTCTAACTAGACAACAACGCTTCCCATATCAGCCAGTCAAGCCTTTTCTGGCGTAACTATTTATGTTTGGAATTTATGCTGAAGTATTACCGCTTTTGTGGAATCACAGGTCGGGGTGGTGGTGGCTTAGTGGCAACTGAACTGGACTAGCAAACTGAAGGTGAGGAAAATGTTCTTGGGACATAGGAGATGATGAAATTTGTATGTTTCATTGGTTATATCAGGTATGCAGGGATGTATAATTGATGTTACAATCAATTTAAGCATAATCTTACTTAATGACAGAACAGGCTTAAGAGGCCAAATGGCCTATTTCTGGTCCTAATTCCTAACTGCATGAATTCTATAAAAATCTGAAAATTAAAAACTAGACTAATAGCAACCATGTAATCATTGTAAATTATCATAGAAACTCATCTGGATCACTAACATCCTCAGGGACAAAAATCTGTCATGCTTACCTGGTCTGGCATCCACATGCCTCCAAACTCATAGTAATGTGAACTCACAGTAATGTGTCTTTGAGTCATAAAACACAAAAAGAGACTCTTCGGTCCAACTCATTCATGCCAACCAAGTTTTCCAAACTAAATTAAACCCACTTGCTTGCATTTGGCCTCTATCACTTCAAACCTTTTCCAATCACGTACCTGTCCAAATATCATTTAAAATGTCGTAACTGTACCTGCATCTACCACTTCCTCCAGCAGTTCATTCCACATTCAAACCACTCTGCACGTGAAAAAGTTGGCCCTCAGGTCCCTTTTAAAACTTTCTCCTCTCGCCTTAAAGTATGATCCCTAGTTTTGAACTACCCCACCTTAGGGAAAAAACGTTTGCTATTCACCTTATCTGTGCCCCTCGTGATTTTATAAACGTCTAGAAGGTCACCCCCCGGCCTCCTATGCTCAAGCGAAAGAAGTCCCAGCCTATCCAGCCTCTCATTCTAACTGAAAACCTCCAGTCCTTGCAACATCCTGGTAAATCTTTTCTGAACCCTCTCCAATTTAATGATGCCCTTCCTATAGCAGATTTGCCTTTTAGCACGCACAGAAAGCCTGGAAGGTTATCATGGTTGTCAGCAGTCAATCAAGTCATCATGTTTACATCTTAACTCTTAACTGCCTATGAAATAGCCTAGAAAGTCACTCAGTTGTATCAAAATGCTACAAAGTCTAAAGACTGGAACAAAACAGGACAGAGCACCTGGTATTGCTCTGGGCACTGAAAACATTAATGACAAACCTAGTCCTGTCAACCATGCAAAGTACCTCGTACTAGATGTAAAAACAGCAGGGTTGTTGTGATGGGTGATTTTAACTTCCTCTATACTAACTGGGACACACTACAAGCTTGGATGGGGCAGATTTTGTAAGGAATATTCAAAAGGGTTTCTTGACACAATGTCATCAGTACAACTAGGGAAGGGGTTATACTGGACCTGGTTTTGGGAAATGAGCCCAGCCAGGTGAGCCAAGTTTCAGTGGGGAAGCATTTCGGGTATCATGGCTATAATATCATGAGTTTTAAGATACTCATGGATAGGGATAACCGCAGTCCTCGGGTGAAGGCGTACTGCAACAATATTAGGCAGGAACTGGAGAATATTGATTGGAGGTGGCTGTTTGAGGGTAAATCTACATTGGACATGTGGGAGTATTTCAAACAGGAGTTGTTAAGAGTTCAGGAGTGGCACATTTCTGCTAGAATGAAGGATAGGTGTCGCAAGTTACATGAACCTTGGATGACCAGGGATGTTATGACCTTCTTCAAAAAGTAACAGGAAGCATACATAACTGTCTAGGAGGATGGGAACTCACAAAGACCTTGAAGTATATAAGGAAAGTAGGTAGAACTTAAACAAGGAATTAGAAGGTCTAAAGGTGGTCATGAAAAGTCATTAGCAAACTGGATTAAGGAGAATCCCAAGGCTTATTATACATATATAAAAAGCAACAGGGATCCAGTGAAAGAGTCAGCCCACTCAACAACAAAGGAGAGAGTCTACGTCTGGAGTCAGAAGAGGTAGATGAGGTCCTAAACAAACACTTTGCATCAGTATTCACCAAAGGAATCGATGGAAGATGATCTCAGGAAAGAGAGTGTCAAGGTTCAAAGCCAAGTTGCTATTGAAAAGGAAGAAGCGTTGTGCGTCTTAAGTATTAAGGTAGATAAATCCCCAGGTCCCGATGGGATCAATCCCAGAATATTGAAGTAGGCAAAAGAATAAATTGCTGGAGTATTGACAGGCATCTTTGTATCCTCTTTGGGTATAGGCGAGGTCCCAGAGGACTGGGGAATAGCTAATGTCCCACTGTATAAGAAGGGTAACAGGGATAATCCTGGAAATTATAGGCCTATGAGTCTCATGTTGGTGGTAAGGAAATCACTGAAAAAGATTATCAGGGACAAGATCAATAGACATTTAGAAGCAAATGGACTTATTAGCAACAAACCGCATGGTTTTATGTGGGGGTGGTCATGCCTCACTAACTTGATCGAGTTTTTTGAGGAGGTGATGAAGATGATTGCTGAGGGAAAAGTGGTTGATGTTGTCTACATGGACTTCAGGAAAGCCTTTGACAAGGTCCCTCATGGCAGACTGGTACAAAAGGTGAAGTCACGTGGTATTGGGGTGAGCTGGCAAGATGGATACAGAACTGGTTTAGTCATAGGAGTCATAGGGCAGCGGTGGAAAGATGCTTTTTGGAATGGAGGGTTGTGACCAGTGCTGTTCCACAGGGATTAGTGCTGGAACCTCTGCTGCTCGTGATCTACATAAGTGATCTGGAAGAAAATGTGCCAGGTCTAATTAGTAAGTTTGCGGATGAAACAAAGATTGGTGGGATGCAGATAGTGAGGAGGATTATCAGAGGATACAGCAGGATATAGATCAGTTGGAGGCATGGGCAGATAAATGGCAGATGGAGTTTAATCCATATAAATTTGAAATGGTCCATTTTGGAAGTTAAAGTATAGGTGGAAATTATACAGTAAATGGCAGAACCTTTACAAGTCCTAATTGACCGTGTCAAAGGCCTTTGTAAGGTCAGAGGGCCACATACAGGATAGGTTCTTTTCTCTCCATTTCTCCTGCAGTGGCGCATGGTGAACATCACGTCTGTTCTGCTCCTCCGTGGCCGAAAGCCACGCTGCAATTCCAGAAGGAGTTCAGGACCACTGACAATGATGATGATGATGGTAGCAGAGAGGAGAGAGATTAGGTAAAGCCAGATGTTGTCAGTGTTCATGTAAGAACTGTCATTATGTTTTTGTTTGATGATGTTGAGGGGCACAGTTTGATGATAAATATGAGTAGGCCAAGGACAGGGCCTTGAAAGACACAAGAACTAATGATCCAGGTGTTAGAGAATCCACTGCAACTGATTTTTGGCTAAGAATATAATTAGCCAGATGCAGGCCACCTAACTGAATAATGGTGCAGAGATATTGCATGATCATCTGTGTCATCTGTGTATGGTCATCTGTGTCAAAGTCTGCAGACAAATCGAAAATGTTGACGTCAGCCAGCTTACTTTTGTCAGTCACATAGAAAGTAATTTGTGACTTGAATACTACTATCCATCACAGTATTAAAGAGCAGATGGTTTAAGAGCTTGTTCTTATGAGAAGGTTAAGAATGTCAGATTTGAAGAGAAACAAATTAGAGGAGAAAGTTAACAATATCAGCTAACATGGGAGTCAGGTAGGGCCTCTTCGGAGACTCTACCTAGGCTGACACTTCAGTGCAGTTCGGAGATTGTATTGTACTTTAGGGGTGCTTTTTTTCTGAGGAAATGAAACTGAGGTTTTGCCTCCATCTCATGTGGAACAAATGTGATGTAATTCAAAGAACAGTGGCATCTGTCAGTATCCTGGTCAACACTGATTCCTCACTAGAATGTTACGTAGCTTTTCTTTAGTTTTATTAGTACTCATTTTCAAGAAAGTAGTCAATATTCTCACTATAAAATATAAGCAGTTTATCACTAAGTCACGATGCTCCCAACAGCACTGATCTTGCAAGAATACCAAGAGATCCCAGTAGCACTTACCTTTGGAGGCACCAGCAGAGAGCCCAACAGTCGCTTCCTCAAAGTGGATGAACTAATCTTTTCTTCTTCATCTGCTGTGCGATGCGCATCTTTAATTATACAAATCTTGTGGATTGCCAACTCCTGCAGGGCCTGGAGTAAAAATAAATTGGGATCTCTGAATCACAAACGATTTGAAATAAAAACAAAATATTCAATAATAAAGACAAAGAATATGCTAAATTGGATCTTGGGCTGTGTTGGTACAGTATTATGAATGTAAAGTTTTATAACACGATTGGTTTCTGGACTGTCACTTATTCAAGGTAAAATGAAATTGAAGAGGGTCATGTGATCTGCTACAAGCTTGTCCAACTTCAAGCCTATGTGTCTCAGTGACTACAGTTAATGCGGTGGCGGTGAGGTGAAGTGCTGATATTATTGATTTAACATCTGAAAACAAAGGTAGAAACAGGTGTTCCTGTGCTGGCAGATTTTACAACCATAGATCGTAACATATCAGAGCAGAATTTGGCCATTCACCCCATCAAGTCTGCTCTGCCATTCAATCATACCTGATATGTTCTCATTCTCTTGCCTTCTCCTCATAAACCTAGATCCCCTTACAAATTAAGAACCTATGCCTTAATTCACTCAATGATTTGGCCTCCACAGACCTCTGCGGCAATAAACTCCACAAATTCAATACCCTCTGGCTAAAAGGTCCTCTCTTCATTCAGAAGATGTGCCTCTCAATGCCAGTCTCTCTAACTAGTGAAAACATCTTCTCCATGTCCACTGTATCCAGACCTCTTGGGATTCTGTAAGTTTCAATCAGATCCCCTTCTCATCCTTCAAAATTCCATTGAGGACAGATCCAGAATCTTCAGCTGTTTCTTTTCTTATCCTTTATCCCCAGGATCATTCGAGTGAACCTCCTCTGGATCCTGTCCACATCCTTCCTTAGATACAGGGTGCAGAACTGCTCACGATATTCCAAATGCGGTCTAACCAGAGACTTATACAACCTCAGCAGTACTATTGTATTCTAGCCCTCTTGAAATGAATGCTATCATTGTATTTGCCTTCCTAATTGCCAACTGAACTTGCATGTTTATCTTAAGAAAATCTTGAGCTGGGACTTCCAAGTTCCTTTGTGATTCAGATTTCTGATGCCTTTCCCCATTTAGAAAACACAGTCTATGCCTCTAATCCTTCTATCAAAGTGCATAACCTCACACTTTCCCACACTGTATACATTGTATTCCACCTGCCACTTATTTGTACACTTGTCTAGCACGTCCATACCCTTCTGCAGCTTCCTTGCTTCCGTAACACTACCCGCTCCTCCACCTATCCTTGTGTAATCCAAAAACGCAGCAACAAAGCCCTCAGTTCCTTCCCCCACATCATTCATGTATAATGTGAACAGTTGTGGTCCCAACATTGATCCCTGCTGACATTCACTAGTCACCGGCTAGCATCCTGAAAAAACCCCTTTAACCCCACTCTCTGCCTGCTGCCAGTCAGCTAATCCTCTGTCCATGCCAGTACTTTGCTCCTCACACCATAGGCTCTTATCTTACTTAGCAGCCTCCAGTCGGGATCATGCCATGACCTTCTGGAAATCCAAACAGTTCAAGTCTACTGGCTCTCCTTTTATCTAACTTGCTCATTACCTCCTCAAAGAATTCTAACAGACTGGTCAGCACGGCACCCCCTTGATGAAGCTGAGCTGACTCAGTCCTATTTTCCCAATACACTTCCAAATACTCCACAATCTCATTCTTAATAATGGACTCTAAAATCTTACCAACAACCAAGGTCAAGCTAACCAGCTTACAGTTTCCTGCCTCCCTCCTTTCTTAAACAGGGGTATTACATTTGCTATTTTCCAGTCTTCTGGGACAATAACTGAGTCCAGTGATTCCTCAAAGATCACTACTAATGCCTCTACAATTTCCTTCAGAACTCTGGGGTGTAATCCATCTGGTCCGTGTGATTTATCCACCTTCAGACCTTTCAGCTTCCCCAGCACCTTCTCCTTAGAGATGACAAATACACTCACTTCTTGAAGTTTTGGTATGTTGCTGGTGTCTTCCACTGTGAACACTGATGTAAAGTGCCTAAAGTTCCTCCGTTATTTCTTTGTTCCCCATTGATATTTCTCCAGCCTCATATTCCAGCGGTCCGATGTCCACTCGTGCCTCTCTCTTACTTTTTATATATTTAACAAAAAACTCTTGCAATTTTTTTTGCTAGCTAGCTTACCCTCATACCCGCACACCCTTTTTTTTTCAGTTATCCTCTGCTGGTTTTTAAAAGGCTCCCCGCAAATCTTCATCACATTGTATGCTTTTTCTTTTCTTTTTTGCTGTCCCTGACTTCCCTTGTCAGCCATGACTGCCTCATCCTGCCTTTAATATGTTTCTTCTTCCTTGGGATGAATTTCGGCTATGATTCTTGATTTACCCCCAGAAATTCTTGCCATTGCTGCTTCACCATCTTCCCTGCAAGGCTCCCCTTTCGGTCAATATTGGCCAGCTCTTCTCTCATGTCTTCGTAGTTAGCTTTTACTCAATTGTTTGTGTTGGAGGTTGATCATCCGTCAGGCGAAGCTGACCATTTTGGACTATTTTCTAAATGGGGAGAAAATTCAGAAGTCTGAAGTGCAAAGAGACTTGGGAGTTCTAGTCCAGGGTTCTCTCAAGGTAAACTTGCAGGTTGAGTCAGTAGTTAGGAAGGCAAATGCAATGTTGGCATTTATTTTGAGAGGACTTGAGAATATAAAAGCAGGGATCCACTTTGGAGGCTTCGTAAGGCTCTGGTCATGCCACATTTGGAGTATTGTGCGCAGTTTTGGGCCCTATATCTCAGGAAAGATGTACTGGCCTTGGAGTGGGTTCAGAGGACATTTATGAGAATGGTCCCAGGAATGAAAAGCTTAACATATGGGTAACGTTTGAGGACTCTGGGTCTATAATTGATGGAGTTTAGAAGGATGAGGGGGGGATCTAATTGAAACTTACAGAATATTGAATGGCCTGGACAGAGTGGATGTTGGGAAGATGTTTCATTGGTAGGAGAGACTAGGACTCGAGGGCACAGCCTTAGAGTAAAAGGAAAACCTTTTAGAATGGGGATAAGGAGAAACTTCTTCAGCCAGAGAGTGGTGAACCTATGGAATTCACTGCACAGAAGACTGTGGAGGTCAGGTCATTGAGTATATTTAAGACAGAGATAGATAGGATCTTGACTGTCACGGGATCAAGTGTTACAGGGAGAAAGAGGGGAATGGGGTTGAGAAACTTCTCTGCCATTCACTCATGGCTGATCAGACTTGATGGGCTGATGGCCTAATTTCTGCTCCTATGTCTTATGGTTTTATTTTGATTTTCTAAAGTAAAAGCAAAATACTATGGATACTGGAAATCTGAAATCAAAACAAGGTTCTGGAGAAACCCAGCAAGTCTGGCAGCATCTTAGCGTCGAGTCCTGCGTGACACTTCTTTGGAACTAAAGGAGCTGGAAAGAGAAGGTTTTAATTTTTTTTTTAAATCAACCAAAATTGGTGGTATAGTGGACAGTGAAGAAGGTTATCTAAGACTATAGAGAGATTGGAGGAAGGGTCACCGGACCTGAAACTTTAACTCTATTTTTTCCCCTTCACAGATGCTGCCAGACCTGCTGGATTTTTCCAGCAACTTTGTTTTTGTTCCTGATTTACAGCATCCACAGTTCTTTTGGTTTTTATAAAGAGATCTTGATCAATTGGGTCAATGGGCTGAGGAGTGGCACATGGGAATTTAATTTGGATAAATGAGAGGTATTGCATTTTGGTAATACAAAGAAAGATAAGACGTATACAATTAATGGTAGGGCCCTGGGTAGTAGTATCGGACAGAGAGACCTAGGGGTTCAGGTACATAATTCTTTGAAATTGGTGACACAGGTTGACAGGGTGGTTAAGAAGGTGTTTAGCATGCTTCATTGCTCAGCCTTTTGAGTACAGGAGTTGGGATATCATGTAGATGTTGTACCGGGCATTGTTGAGGCCTTTTCTGGAGCACTGTGTGCACTTGTGGTCACCCTGTTATAGGAAGGTAATTATTAAACTGGAGAAGGTTCAGAAAAAAATTACCAGGATGTTGCTGGGCATGGAGGGTTTGAGATATAAAAACAGACTGGAAAAACTGGGACTTTTTTCACTAGAATGTTGGAGATTGAGGGGTGACCTTATTGAGGTTTATAAGGTCATGAGGGGCATAGAGAAGGTGAATGACAAGGGTCTTTTCTGAAGGGTGGGGGAGTTCAAAACTAGGGGGCATATTTTTAAAGGTGAGAAGAGAAAGACTTAAGGACATGAGGAGTAACTTTACTTTTAAAAAGACAGTGTTGCGTGTGTGGGGGGGCGTTGAACCACCAGGGAAAGTGGTGGATGCAGGTATAGTTACAACAGGTACAGTTCATGAACATGGATAAATTCATGAATAGGAGAGGTTTGGAGGGATATGGGCCAAGCGCAGGCAGGTGGGACTGGTTAAGTTGGGAACATGGTTGGTGTGGACTGGTTGGACCGAAGGGTCTGTTCCATGCTGTATGACTCTTACCTGTTCAGAAATGTTATTACACACCTCTGGAACAAATGAGATTGGTTTTTATGTTGTAGACAGACGCAAAGCAGAGGCAAGTGGAACAGACTGTGCAGGTGCCCAGAGCAAAAGAAAAAGGCAGGGATAATTGTGGTAAAAGAGATATAGGTACATAGACTACAAACAAGACACAAACATGACACAACAAGGTGCAGGGCTGGATGAACACAGCAGGCCAAGCAGCATCATAGGAACAGAAAGGCTGACGTTTCGGGCCTAGACCCTTCATCAGAAAAGCTGCTTGGCCTGCTGTGTTCATCCAGCCCTGCACCTTGTTGTCTCGGATTCTCCAGCATCTGCAGTTCCTACTATCTCTGATACAAACATGACACAGCCAGGGGAATGAAAGAAAAATGGAGAGGTTATATCCTGAAATTGTGTAACTCAATGTTGAGTCCTGAAAGTTGTAAAGAAACATTACGCTCCTTAGAGAATGAGGCTGGGGAAATAGGAAATGACAGAGAAATTGAATAAATACTTTACATCAGTCTTTATGGAAGA